GCTCAACCTCTCAGTAGCTTGCTCTCAAACTATATGCTCTATGGCTGTAGAGATTGCTGTGCTTCCTTTGTATTCTGGTAAACTTTTATTTTTTTCAACCAATTCCATGCAAAATCATGGGAAATGCCATTCTTTTGCAGTAATCGTAGAAACCAGAATTTTTTTTGCAGTTTCCATGAAAATTGCAAAACCGCAATTTAAATAGGTCCCTACTTATAGAAGACTCAGCCATAAGGATCCATCCATTATTTTATATACCCTTCTCCCATGTCTTTCATTGTGTCATGTCCCTTACAGAGGACAGTAGCACAAGGAGATGCTGCAGTTCTGCTGCATGCCAGGGCTGCATACTGGGAGTCTACGCTGTGAAGTCAGATGCGGCTGTAGTTCTCACTGATTTAAGTACAAGCACAGTGATCACCAGCATTCAGACTGGAAACAGTGAAGAGAATTCGGGTTTTGCAAGACTAGACAGAAAAGACTAGACCAGGGGTCAGCAACCCCTGGCATGCGTGCCGAACATGGCACGTAAGGGCACTTTGCTTGGCATGCCGCGGCCAGCCCTGGCTCTGCTGCTGCCAGCAATGGAGCCCGGGCTACTCCCAGCAGGGCTTGCAGCATCCCAGCTGCCTGCTGGGAGCAGCCTGGGATCCCGGCTGGCAGCAGCTCCCCAGAGCCGGGGCTGGCTGCAGCCGGAAGGCTCCAAACAGCTGTGCTGGACTCCTGCATCAGCTCCGCACCTGCGTGCCTCAGAGTGGGCAGTGGGGGAGGGGCCTGAGGCAGCGCAGCCCTAGTTTCTCCCTCGCATCAGTGCAGCCTGCCCCGAGGTGCCTGTGCAGTCACTGCCAGCATGGAGCTGATGCCGGAGCTGTGGAGCCTGGTGCAGCTGTTTGCAGCCTGCCTGCTGCTTGCTGCAGCTGTCCAGAGCCCAGGCTGGCTACAAACAGCTGTGCCAGGCTCATCACCTCCGTGCCAGAAGCAGGGTAGAGACCGGGGCTGCTCTGCTCAGGCCCTTCCCCCACCGCCCACTCTGAGGTGTGCATGCACGCACCAGTGCAAAGCTGATGCTGGAACCTGGCACAGCTGTTTGGAGCCTCCCAGCTGCAGCTGGTCCCGGGTCTGGGAAGCTGCTGCCAGCTGGGATCCCAGACTGCTCCCAGCAGGTAGCTGGGACACTAAAAGTCCTGCTGGGAGCAGCCTGGGCTCCAGCAGCTACCCAAAGCCAGGGTAGCTGCTGGCAGCCACAGAGCCCAGGCTGTGGGGCAGGGGCTTTGGGTGGGGGGCAAGGGGCAGTAGGGCTGGGGCTTTGGGTGTAGGGTAAGGGGCACAAGCAGGACATCCTGCCATGTACCCCTTGCCCTCATTTTGTTTTTCTGCCATGCCGGCACTCCAGCACCTCCCGAGGTAGGCATTGTGGTGTTTTTTGGCACTCTGGCCAAAAGACATTGACTACCCCTGGACTAGACCTTCATCCCTTTTATCTTAATGACATACATTTCGTTGCGAAACTAGCTCATGTAGTTCTGGATGCAAGAATGAAACAATATAGTATCTTTTTAGGATACATCTCTGTCCCTAGAGAGAAGAACAACAGGTAAATCTGATGTTTGTGCTTTTTCCCAGAAAACAAATGGGATTATGTCCAGAATTCAAACATTGCTATTTATCCACTTACCACAGAGCCTGAGTTGTGCTAAGCACTGTCCAGACACAAAGTGATGCCCCCCCACCTCCATGCCCTGAGAACCTTACAGTCATAGGTCTGCTGATTTATTTGATATAGCTCCAGATCAGTATATTTGTATGTGTACTCATTTAGCATATTTCATGTACTTTTATCAGTCAAACCTTCTTTGTCCCATAGCGAGTGGATGGTTTTAACTTTATCCTCCCTTCCCCATGCTCTGAATATGCTTTGAGAACCTGCTTTGAGTGTAATGTTCTTTTTTAGAACATGGTCACACATGTATGATCACACATGTATTGGTCAGTCTATTTCTACTCCTCTCATGCAAAACATGTGATTTGGTATGTGAAAAATGTGGTCCGTCTCGTATACATTTCTGGTTCATTTCTGGTTATTTTTCCTGCATGAAACTTTATGCAAAGTAAACATTGTGAGTGGATCCCAATGTTAGTACTGGGGATGGCTGGGAATCCACTGGACCAGATTATATGCTAGGAACGGGCAAAATACAGCTTGCGGGCCAGATCCAGATCTGGCCCACCATGCCATTCTATCCAGTCTGTGGGGCCCCTAAAAATTTAGTAATTTAATATTTATTTACTCCTGGATGCCTGTCAAAATTGACCAGAGTCTGGGTCAGCAGGACCCAGAGGGAGCCCACAGGACTGAGCAGTGCAGCCCTGCTCCACCCCCAGCCATTTCTCTGCCTTCCTGGCCCCACACTGCTCCAGCACCACATGGCTGCATCGCCAGACTGGGGAGCATGGGCCATGCCAGTACACTGGGGCCAGAAGCAAGGAGGGGTGTGTGTGTTGTGTAGGCAGGGGCAGAGGGTGTGTGCGTGTGTGTGTGTAAGCAGGGGCAGAGGGGGTGCGTATGTATGTTTGTAGGGTGAGTCCCACAAGCACACCCCACCAGACACATGCGCCCACACCTACCCTTACATTGCCAAACATGCAGACTCCCGCCCCCTCACGCACCCCAGCCACCCCATGAATCCCATACCCACCCACACAGCCACACCCCACATATCCACACACCCCCACCTGCTAGCTCACCCCACACCTAGCCACCCCCACAGACGCACCCATGCCCTCCCCCACACCTCACATACCCACACACCCACAGCCCTCTACAAACCTATACCCTTCCCTCCACAACATACAAGAATAAGACTTCATTTTAAGCTATTGTGGAATCACCTCTATGTATACTACACAAACACATATAAATCAGGACAAAACTATTTTTGAAATCAAATGAATGAATGTTGTAGATGTTTTCTTTTAGAATAAATTTGGTATTTTTCTGGTTTGGAGATGGCAAAACCCTTTGCTAAAAGAAGTACTTCTGGGGGCAAGGGGAGAGAATTCTGGTGGCAAAGGTTGGGGGATAGGGGGCTGGACTTCTGGTCACAAGATGGCGACCAGGGGGTGAGGCACCTGTCAAGGCGTGGGCCTACCCATGCAGCCCTCGACCGCTTGCCCAAACTCGGTAAGTGACCCTCTGTCCGAAATAATTGCCTGCCCCTGTTATATTCCTTATTGAACTAATGGCAGGTTTAAGAGAGGTGAGTAACTAAGATGTTGCAGTTAACAGTCAAATGAATGAGAGAATAATTTACCTAGAAAGGAAAGCTTGGCAACAATAAGCAATTGTTTATTGCTTGTGAGTACAGTTAATACATCGATCTTACTGATTTCAAACTACTGCATTAAGGAAGGCAATGTTCCATACTTAAAATGCGTAATCTCAGGTCCTGAACCTTATTTATTTACATAAGCAATATTTACCAGTAGTTTAAATGCAGTTTATTAGTTATTAGTAGGTCTCCCAAGAGATTACTGCTATTGCAGTTTGTAGACTGTGATTTACAATGCTGTAATCATCTGAAAGTACTGGATTTGGTAAGCTCCTCAGATAACAGAAAGCCAAGTCAAGCAATACTTATAGATGCCAACTGGACTTAAACTGCTTTTTTGTACAAGAAATATATTGCTGTATTTCAGCCCACCCACTTTTCAGCAGGCGAAGAAAAGTGACTTGTAATCAAATTACACACACTAAAAGGAGAAAAAATAAAAAGGGATTTCTGTGAATTTTAGTATTTGTGGTATCATCATCTTGGTGTGATTGAAGTGTTCTAAGGTAATGTTCAGATTGCTTGACTTGGTCTCCTTCTACAAACAGCATGAAGCCAAACCATTTCAGGATATGACAGGAAATCTGTGAATGACCTCCCTTCTGTGCTGTGTCTCAAAAGAAAATGGCCTATTCTCTGAATATGCAAACCATAGGTTAAAAAAAAAATGCAGATACTAAGAAGCCTCAAAACACATTTGCAAATTCTCAAGTGATAAATGGTTTGCACTTTAATTTATTAGTAATTATTCATTTCTCCTTCAGGGAAGTGATTTAATCAGATGGGGGACTGAGCATTTCTATTAATAACAGAACGAATGTGGCCTAGTTGGTCATCTTTCCTTTGCTATTCTTCATTTTTAAATGTCCTACTTCCCCCTTGTATCCTTGAGTAACTGAGAGTTTTGATGCTTTTAGGTGTGTTCCCTTGCTGCTTCTATGTCCTGAGAAAACTCCTGTTTAGTGGTTCCCTGGGGCACCCCCATCCCTGGGCCATAGTGAGGAGGGTGCTCTGAGCAGGGACCTCCAAGATATGTTCTATACCACACACCTATGGTAAATGTACCTTACTTCAAACCAAAAGCCTGGTAAGCAGAACAATAGCTAATAGGTCACCTAGTAGTAATCTCTAGTAGAAAGGTAGACAGTCATTTCTCCTCAAAGAGGAATAAGAACAAAGTTCTGAAGGTGAATCCGTGGGAGTTGAGGGTGCTCAGCAACTTGTGTTATTAGGTTATCGGAGAAATAACCAGGAAAATGCTACAGCAAGGTGATATAATAGAGCCAAGTCATGTAAATATACTTGACCCTGACGTGGTCTGTATCAGTGATTGACAGCTTTTCTTGGCCACACACTGGAATGACTCAACTTGGGTCTGAAGTTAGCCGGCACTAGTACCCTTCTGCTGCTTCTTCTCACCATGGCATAGAAGATTCTCCTACTGCCAAAGCCTGAACTCCATGGGCTAGATCCAACTTGCAAGAAACCCCTGGGTTGCCAACCCCCGGTCTATTATCATTAATGACAAGGGATAATTATTTCATAGAAAAACAATAATAGGATTGTGGCCTGTCAATTTTATACATATGAATACATTATTATAATGGCAAAAATGGCAAAATCCATTTTCTGAATGAAATTCCCATTCAGTGAAAAATAAGGGAGCATGTTAATGTTCCCCTTTTCAAACTCTTTTCTGGTTCTGGATTCTCAGTCCAATTTAACTACAGAGACTTTTTATTTATAAGGGTGAATATTCTTTTTGGTCTTCACCTCCCTTAAAGTAGCCCACAAAATACAATAACAAAAACTACTTCCCAGTTGCATATATCAGCTCTTGGTTTGTTTGCATTTGATTGGATGTAATTATGTAGCTAATCCTCGATCCTGCTGTTGCTGAAGCTAAGAGAAGCAGTAGCAGGTCCCTATATTCAAGACACAAAAGAATCCAGCAAATTGAATGACAATCAGAGGTATTGGGCACAGAAAAGATCTACTAGTCCAGCGTCCTGCAATTTCAAGTATATTTTGGATACAATGCCTAATAAATTTACTTTGTTCAGCTTAATGTTGCATATCTCACAGGAATGGCTTCCATCACTTCCTGTCATGACTACAACTTTGAGTATAAATCACTAGAAATCATGAAAAAAGAAGCAATAGCCAGTAAAGTGAAGGAATGAAGCCTTGAGGAAGAGGGGAATAAAAAAAGAAGCTAACAATTGCCAAAAAGACATAACGGGGTCAGAGAGGAGCTTTGGGGGTAAGGTGGGGGCAGTGAAAAAGGCAGATCTCTGAATC